CAATAAACAGTAGAGAATGTTTGCTAAATGGGTTTCAATTGCCTCCTACGACAGGCATATCGTACCTCAGACGCATATCTTACTTCTTACCTATACTTATCAAGTTGACAATCTTCTCTCTCATGATGGATTTGAAGCCTCTCATATAGGTAATTAGTTTTAATACCATTACAGCGGTCTAATGTAAAACCAATACATAGCGGTCTAATGTTCCCCAATATATTGACATAGTATAATAACATAGTAACGAGCTACCCAAATGCAATGTGAGTTCTTAACAACTACTATTATTGCAGCTAAGTGAACGGGAACTTGATAGTGTAGTTCCAGCTTAAAACTCAGATTTATTTAGACTCGTATTGAGACTTGTAAAATAACTCACGACACTATTAAATCTAAACAATTGTAAGATTCGTTCATACAAATCCACGTCAACACTTTGCTTCCCAATTGTTCAGAAGTTGCGTGGGAGCAACAACGTTGCATTCAAGGGTTACAATTATTGAGTTCGGGACAATTAGTTCGTTTCCCTAGCTTCTTGAGGAACGTTGTCAAAAGACTTGTAAGAAATACTAAGATGTGGTAACCCCGTTTTTCACATTTCTACACATACCTACTCACTTACAGAAGTACATACACTATTTATTATTAAATAATATAACTAAACCCTACAGTCATAATAAATCCAAAGAATAGTGAGAATGACAAAAATTAGCATTGGCTGTAGTTTTTGTGAGTTCAACTGTCATACTATTCTCTGGCATGTTGAAGTGGTGAGAGACGCATTGAACTGTTAGAGGTATACCTATATACTGGCAGAATTTTAGGTAGTGTGTTCAGATTAACCAGACCTTTAGTGTAGCTTAACTATAATTGAAACTATTAATTAAATTAATGACAAATATTTTATTTCTTTAACACGTGTTTGATGTAAGTATTTATTTTAATTAAAGTAAAGATACTCGAAACAGCTGTATGGTCAGCCAATAATTCAATTAATTAAAATAATATAAAAAATAAAGTTTTTGTTCTTGTAGTGCACCACTGTTCGAAGAAACCTCTTTAAAATAAAGATAAAATACGTGGTTGCAGTTCTATAATTCAAGTTAAAGTGAACAAGCTTCGATTGTCACGTTGGGAGCTACGAAGGCCAAACAGGACTTTTCCAGACAAAGAGGTCGATATCCCGTTTGGTAGCAATTAAGCGATCGAAATACCATAATATCGCATGATTCTGTCGTTAATGAAACTAAACGCAGGGGCCGGATTTTGAGAGGACGTGGGTGTTAATTTATAAATGAGTCATTCTTTTACAAAACTGACATATTTTTGACCTCGTCAACTCTGATTTGGCTGAAATTTTTGTTATGAGTTCCATTCATAAAATAAGAAGACCCGTATCTTGTGAAAATATTTTGCTACTTTTTTTCTAGAAGATATGAATCCATGGGGTTTTGACAATTAGCATTTTAGACACATTTTTAAACACATTCTCCCGCATTACTAATATTATTTTTAATTTCTATATATTTCTGAATTGAATTTATCATCAACTTTATTATTGTTCTCAGAAGCATTTTTATTAATTAAATTAGTGTCGCATGATCTCTATTTTTAGATCACAAATTTTAGAATTTCTTTATTCTTACGATTTGTACATATATGTATGTCTTTTCTTTAAAGCTTTATTCTAAATTTGTATTCAGTCTATGTAACACACTATATGTGAAGAGCTATGTTTTTACCTTCTTCTATCGAAATTAATTTATTCACTGACATCCCAGGGGTTAATTTTATTACGTCTAGTTCCATTTCTATAATATCTTTTGAGTTTTCTATCACCTTTAATTTACTTTAGCTTCTATTTTAAATGTATTTCTTTGTTTAGTTGCATTTTAGATTCCAATTACACCAGGTACATTAATATTATTTATGAAAATGTCGGTATTATATGAAGCAATTGTTTATTAACCCTTCATAGACTGGTGGGCTTAGTTCCGAGAATAGATTTCCTATTCGTGTAGTCCCAACCCATTATTTCCAACAATTAGAAGGAATTGTACATAATGAGCTTATTTAAATAAAATTCACAAGTCGGGCGTGTAATGGATTTTCACACACTTAAATATCACTTGTCAATGTGTCAGTCATTAAAGCCTTGCCGTCAAAATTATTTTAAATGCACTCATGCGTGTTACTTTACAGCAATATCCTTGTCATATATGTCTCGCATACTGACACGCTTAAGTCTGCAACAGAATTTTTATTCCTTCGCAATATTTTAGTCCTTGTTCGTTGGATTCTTCTTATTTTGTCTAATAAAAATGCTGCGGAAGTGTTTACAAAATGCTTGAAACGCCCGCTACTCTGGATGCCATCCCACGCCAGCTCAACTGCTATTTACTACTAGTGCATAGCGTACTAACACCGACAAAACTGCCCCCAATAGCAAATCCTTTCAACATTTCTGTATTTATTTTCTATTTTTTGCGTCCTTAACATCAAATACGCCTCAGCTGTTGTCATTTCACTACTCGATGGTATGGCATGTGCCGCAGTTTTTCTACTATTTTTTCCTGGCTCTATGTTACACTGAGCTATAGTTTCTTTTATTATTCTGCTCGACTTGCATACTAAAGTGCGTATCTATTTTTTTATTGTAAACTTGTTTTTTCTGTTTAATTTTTTTCTTCAGCTCATCATATCATTTCGGTGCGTGTCCTTTCATATCCTGCACTCTGTCGTCATTGCCATCCTTGCCATGCTTGCCATCATTGCCAGCAGTTCAGCCTCAATCGCAATTTTCAATCATGCAATTTTTCTTCGCTTGGTAAATATTGCAGCTGATGCAGCAACTGCTCTTGGGTCTTCCATAGGGCCGTTGAAACTCTAACGGTCTCAATACATTTGTACGTGTCTGTATGCACATACCTATACGTGTGTTGTATGAATTCAGTTGCATGAACTCACGAATACTTATTTGTACTTAACACGCTACTTTCTATATCTTATTGTCTATATGCCCTTACATATTTTTTACTGATTTTCATTAAAAATCGTTTAATCCTCGCTATAATTTGCAATTCCCTTTTTATGGATGACGCTTTGTCCTGGAAGTTGTGTGTGTGTCCTGCTTTCCCAGTTCGCCTCTTTTCATTCTTATTCATACGCAGTCTTGTTGAGTTTTCCTTGTTGATCCTTTGTCATTTGTGTTATGTTTGCGAATCACTTATTGATGCAAACGTCATTTGATTGTCATTGTGAAGCCGGAAGTGTACTCTTCAGTTTCGCTATTCATGCGTGACATGTATTTCTCGGTTGAGGAGGTTTTTTTAAAAAGGGATCAAATTAATTGCAGACGTACTCAGGAAAACGTTATTGATATTCTTTTCATAATTGGCATAATAATTAAGTAGTTGCTGCAACTGTTGCTAGCGGCTTTCGTTTTAATTAGTTTAATTGTTATTTAATATTGCATAAATTAAACAAAAAATTATTTTTAATTAAATTTCCATTTATTCAATTCATTTCTTTATCGTATACGTAGTAGCTTAAGGATACCTGTATGGAAACACCATGCATATTGTACGCAAGAAAATCGAATGTCGCTCAAAGGCTACATCCGAATGAAAAATATTTTTTAGTACTAGTAAAAATGAAAGACCTTTCAGAAAATACTGAGTAGGAGTGGTAGGTTGTAGTGAAAAATTAAATTTCTCAAGAAATTTTCCTTTTCTCTCCAAGTGAAGTCATTTGCCATTTTTTATTTTATGTAAACAGAACTGTAGTTTGATCTCTGTTAACTTTATTACGGTAGTTGATGACATTAATTGGCATGTTATTCTCATGCCAATCATGAAAATTTATCACAGGTCCTCAGCATGTGATCTATTGTAACAATATTTACATTGAGAGATCGAAGCAAATGCTATTGTGGCGCAGGAGTCTTTAAACTATAAACGCAATTTTAGCTCGTAGATCTCTTTTGAAAAAGGCACTTAAGGCGTGCGCAGCAGTGGTACAATCTCTATCTCGCCGAGCACTACCTATATTATACTATATAAGAGTAATAAATGCAAATTTTTGGTAAATGAGTTATTAACAACGTAGAGAACTGCTATGCTTGTATGTGTGTACATGATCTAAACGATGTTTGATGTTAATAGAATTGTTATATACGTGTATGTTGTGTTGTCGGAGAGTTGATGAGTTATTAGAACAAGTTCTCGAAGTCATTGATCGTTAATCATTAATTACGCCAATATTAAGGCACAGTCGTAAATGTTCGAAAAGATTGTGGATAACTAAAACTCTATGCTTCAGTTTTTAGAATTTTTGAGTCAATTGCCAGAAATCATTTTTCGCACTAATGTCATAAAGTTTAACTTCATTTTGTGTTTTTCAAGAAATCAATCCATATTTAGAATCACAGTTTCGAAAACTATGAAATAGATTCAATTTTTACCGTAAATAAATATGCATTTTGGTTAGTTTAAGATGAATTTGTAGACACTAAGCGCTAGTTATACATTTCTTGGTCTCTAGCTTTATCATTTAGATGGAGCCTTCGCCTCTCCTTCGAATTGGAACATTGCGATGACAACTTTTTAATACAAATTTTCAATTTGTCAGACCCCGATAGGTACACATTATATATTCTTGATGTGTTGTAGGAAGCGAATAGGCTTTTAGAGTGCCAAGAGCACAGCATTGATGAGTTTCATACAACATATAGTTTCCATATGTTATATAGGTTAATGCCATTTTACATTATTATGTATATACGAGTATTTGGTTTGCTTCTCATTTACATGAGTTTTGGTCTGGGAATGCTTTCATTCCGTAAGATATTATGATATTGATGATATTGATATTGAAATTGATAATGATATTTAACTTCACTAGCACCCTTTCTTGATTAAGTAGGCTGTGGGTTAAAAAGATTTGTATATTAGACATATCTAGTTTGTTTGAAACATTTTTTATATAAATGGATTTATAGTCTTAAACAAATAAAAATTGAAAGAATAGTTCAAAACTATTATGGCAAAACTCATGGCAAAATTTTAAATGAAACCAATTTTCGCTTAGCGAAAAAATTATAATTAACATGAATACGACAAACACACTTGAGGTGGAATTTGTATTGGAAAATGATGAACAGCTGCCTGAACATAAAAACGATCAAGAACTGATCACTGAACAAGACAAGAAGGGAGAATCTAGAGAAGATCGAAAAGATGAATTGTCTACAGGAAAAGTCAATGAAAATAACTCTACAAAGGAAAAGAAAGAGCTGCCTTTTACGCAGGCAAATGAATATGATTTGCCTTCTAAGAAAGAAATAGAATTGCCATTGACACCTAAGGCAGAAGAGAATTTCAAATCCTGTTCTGTAAGCAAAAATGGTGAAAAATTAGCTTCGGAACAAGACAAGATAAAGCAAAAAATGCCGGTTGAGAGATGTAAGCCAAAATAGTGAAATAAATTATGTTTGTTATTAATAGTACATAACATCCATTCCAATACTTAGTTTTACGGGCTGCTGCTAGTGATATGTATGTCGTAAGAGATGAAGACTCAGTTACAACGATCGTTAATCGACATCTATCTTTTGAGCATGTGGCGCCAGACTGTAAGTAATGATTGCATTAATAAAGCAATAAAGTCAGTAAGTAGTTGGTCTTTATTAAAAGAACTTTTCATAGGTGAGGAATATTGGTCGTTTAATAACATGTTATACGGGCGAAATTTTTTTCCAACAAATGAGGATGCTAACGAAAGGGTTTTGGAAAGAAAACAACGTGGAAGAACAAATCTGAAACCAAAAGCATCAGTATATACAACGAATATTCATGTTTCTCGCACTGTATGTGACGAATCTGGAAAAAAATCCAACGAATGCAATTGCTCCTATAAAGGAACCACCATTAGAGTGGATGGGAGTGAGCGAAGCAAGCGTTATACAGAATTTAATCCGAGTATGACTTTTGCTAGTTTTCTCACCTTTTCTTGTTCTAATCTAATCCTTTAATCTATAGAGTTACTATCAGATTGAAGAAAGCAAGTCACAAAAGACAGTGCGAACGCCAAAAGTCACAAAGTATTTTCGGACAACTTATTGCTATTTTCGATTTCAGTTTCTAGAACTAAATAACTATTGAAATACTTTATATAACTTAAGCTGCAACAAAATAAGTACTGCTTGTGTAATGGAACGTTTTACTAAATTGCGAACACTGATTGCTTGAGGCTATATTTATTTAAGTTCAAAGATCTTAAATAGCTGAGCCTAGTTCAGCCTACCTGAAATATCATCTGATTATATTTTTATATATCTGTTTCATTCTATTTATATCTCCTATCGAATGTTTGTACAAAAGTAAACAATCGATTATTTGGCGTTCCACAAGTAATGGACATATTTTTATAAGAATATAATTTTGTATTTATTTAACACAATAATATTTGGAATCTGTGAAATAATTGTAATTATTTGTTTAGTAACAAACTTTACGGATAAGTAGAGAATTGGATTGATGTTTTCGATACATTTGAATATCGCTATTGGGGTATAAAACCCTATATACCCAGAGCAAATTACGAATAATAAAATGTTATGTGATTATAGTCGTTAAAGCGAAGAGAATAGATCTAGAAAGAAGAACACGTACTAGGCTCTACCACCTTTAGCGGTGTCTACCGAAAGATGATGCGAATTGTTGATCAAAACGCATCACTTCCCGAAGTAATGCGAATAAGTCTATCCATAAAGGTGGTGTTTTAGTCCGTATACCACATAATAAAAGACCTAATCACAACCAAAAAATAAAAGTGGAGTACACAACTGAATTATTCGCTTGTATTACATCTTCCAGCAGATAGTTTACTTTAAATTAATTGACTTTGAGAACTTACAAGTAGTTTTGAGTGAAGTTTCTTTTGCAGAATACTCTATTGCAATCTACAGCTCCATTCACTCCATTCATTCTGCTGCTCCAGCTAGAAACGTAGTCTGCTTCCATGCGATCCACGCCATTGCTTGTATCAACAAATCAACTCCTTATATTATGAAAAAATTTAAGAAAAGTACCTTGAATATAAGACAAATACACAAAAATTTAACAACTCTGAACCCATCTCGAAATTGATAAAATCCCCCCGTGTGTACGCAAAAAATGAGTTTGTAAATAAATTTTTAAGTTTTTAAAAATAACAAAAAAAAAGCAACATGGAAATGTAATGACAACACTACTTCACTTAGGTTGAATAACAGCACTCGCAACAGCAACAACAACAGCAACAACAACAACAAAACCCGAAGAGCAACAAAGCCAAAAACATTCACACAAAACTCCGAAATTACAGCCATTAAACGTGCGCAAAGCAAAGCAAAATATGCTAAAGTGAATATGCAAAACACGCCCACCCGCACCATATCAAATATGTAAAATGCTAATAAGCCAGGAAAGCTAAAGCCAAGACACCCAACACTCTACACTCTACAGTGGGTTGGGGTAATAAGACACATTCCACATTCAAGGTGCAAAGAATATATATTGAATGAAATAAAAGTATTCCTTTTGCATATTAAGGATAACACAAAAAAAGGTAAATCCAAATCACAGTAATGTACACGCTTTTATATTTACAGTGTAGTATACTATACACTGCAAAAAAGTTAAATACATATGCATGTCAGTTAGCGATGCGTGAAACATGCTAAGCAAACTCCTCTCACACCAGCTATAATGTAAGTATAGTTAGTGGCTTTCGCTGGAATAATTTACAGAACCTTGTTCTCCGACACGCAGCTATTAATAAATTTTTGGAGAGCATTTCAAGACGAAGGCCAACATAGCTCTTTTCGGTGTAGAAATTGCTGAGTATTCACTCCCAAAGATAATCGCATTTGAAGTAGTCTCCTATGAACATATATTGCCAGAGTTCGGCTTAATATAACTTATGCTTGACTTTTCTGGTGCTTTTTAGTGTATAAGGACGCAATTTGCTAATGCACTCAATGTCATACTGCACTTAATACTTCCCTGCCTATTCATTAGAAAATAGTTTTACTGAATACGTAGCAGTCCTAAGTCACTAGAACTTAAAACTTCTCTGGAATTCTTTGTAGCATTGACAGCGTTGAACTATGTTTATTTCGATTTTAGTTCTCACATTTTAGTGAACACTAAATCTAATCTAAGTCTAATTTGATTTTAGATTTTATTGCTTATATTCTTATGAGTAGAACTTGTGGCATAAGTTTCACTTCAAGTTTGAAATCAAATGAAAGTTTACTGATAGCGACACAAAACCTCGTAATATCACTTAAATATTTTTGAGAAAAGTATTTTTCGTCTCGTTAGCCTGCTAAATCGCTACTAAATTTTGACATTACGACTCTTGTTAACTAAAGATGGAAACAATCACCCTTTCTGCATCAAGAAATTTTAATATATAGCTTAATAGTTTTCCAATAGGCTATCAGTATGTGTAGATAGATGTCTAATTTAGATGTTCTTGATTAACATCTATGGACCACTGAGATACTTAATTTCAAAGTTTAACTAAAAATCGGTTTTCATTGTAAATAAAATTTCAGAAAGTGATGATTGGACTAAACTGAAAACATTCAAATTACTAATCGAAGCTGTTACAGTATATTGGGGAACAAAGTTTTTTTAACCTTCCAAAACTTTTTGACCAGATAACTTTACACCAACCTTTTATTTTATTGTATAAGATTCAGTTTAATTAAAATCTTGCTAGTTTTATTTAGTTTTAGGTCGACGTCAAAAAAATCTCTGTTAGATCTTAAGTATATACTAAAAAAATAAAAACATTATATGTATTAGTTGAACAGACATTATTTCTACCAGTTTATCTGGTTGCATTCACTCAGATTCTGTTTCCGCACATGAGTTCTGCAGCCACTTTTATTTTAGTAGTAACGATAGACTTTCTGGTTTTGGCAATGTTAAACGTTTAAAAAATTAAAGGAACTGAGAGAACCTTAAGGGACGTCTGAGATGGCTTTACAAATATATTAATTTTGCAACAATGTGAATGAAAAAGTGTTTAGTAATACCAGTCTTTCGAAGTTGAATTGGTCAGGGTATTGCAAAATTGAGTAGGGTATTGAATTCAAAATTGTTAAAGTACGAACTCTTCACAAGCATCAGAATATATAAAAATTGGAAATTTTTTTCTGTTATTTTAAGAATGGTATGAGGATGAAAATAGGACTTCAAATCTCAAGAATTTGCTTACTCAGAATTCCTTCCGTTCCCCTTTTGATTATAAGTTTAACGTTACCTAAACTAAGACAAAAATTAAAGAAAGGCTTCTTCCCGAAACATACTTCGGAAAGAAGCGATCAAATAACCTGATAAATATCTTCTTCTTTCTATATATATTTTAAATATAGCTAAATCATAAGAGATCATTATAAGTCATCATAATCATAATCATTAATTCTATTTTGCAAAGTATCCTTTAAAGTTATAGCATATTTTCCGGTGACCGCTATATTCTAAGGGGAGAGAATGAGTGAGAGATGGTTAGATTTCTCAATTTCTCCCCTTAGGGATAAATCTAACAACCCTTAAAGTGTGTTGTTGGCGAATCTCTACTTGATGCAATCATCCTGCAAGTTAGTAACTAAGTCGAAGGAATACACAACCTATTACAATAGGAAGTATATTGTTAAACATTCCTACAATATCTGCAAAAGCAACCAGACAAAATAGAGGGCTGTTTTCAAAGATAATTGTTAAAGTAGTATTCTTTTTATATTGATATAAAAACTGTACATTATTCCAACTTGCACGAGACCTTCAAAAAAACTCAACTCTTGGTAGGAAAAACTTATAACAGCTAGGCTATTTCTTCAGGCATCTGACATCAAAGTAATATATTTATAGTTCCTCATATAATCCTTTAATATCGTCTTAATGCTTTTGCTCTCTTTTGTGATTTCTAATCTGACGACAGTTGCACTTGAAGCTGTGTCTCCCATTTTGAGGCGTTCATGTCAACATTGTCCAACCTCGACCAGTTTCGGAGATGCCAATTACTTTGACGACATGCTGACATAGGAACTGCATGTATCTGCATGCATAGCCTGATGCAATATATGTTGTTACGATGACTGACAGCAACTGTCACTAACATATGTCAGCTGGAGATAATTTGTTTGACCGATTATACAACTTAAAGCTAAAAAATAAAAAAAATATTAAAATAAAAAATGCTTCGTTTGATTTTTAATCGTTCGGAGCTGATAAAGCACAGCAATCCAACCATAATCGAGTGCTGTTAGGTGCGGGGATGACGATAAGGATGAGTATGACGATAAAGACAGCAACAAAAACAGCAACGATTACAACAACTACAACAGTAATGTACCTAAGAACGACACTCTGCGCCGAAAAATCTTGTGCGAAAATTGTTGATGAGATGAATTTTTTGTGTTTATTTGTTGTTGTTGTTGTTGTTGTTGTTGTTTAGCTTTTTATGTTTTATGTTGAATATTTTTATGAACAATTTTCTAGAGTAACTTAACATTGCGTTACTTTGCATTACGTTGTGTTATGTTACGTTACGTTAAGTTACACTCAGGCATGTTGACACATTTGTGGTGTTTGAATTTGTCGGTATGTTGTTGTTGTTATTGTTGTTGTTGTTGTACTTGCCTCATCAATGCACTGTCGTACATGTGTGTGGGTACACTTGATTTTAAGGACATTGATTATGAGCCAGGATAATAATAGCTGCTGTTGATGACGATAATGTTGATGACAGCATTCTTGGTTTGCTGGTTGTTAGTTGTTGGTTGTTGGCTGTTGTCGCTGTCGTTGTCGTTGTTGCTGATGAGCATACAAAAAAAGGACCAATGTTTGTGAATTAACGCCTTTTTCCTACAAGTCACCCTGGTACCTCTGCTACCTCTGCTACCCAGCAATCGCGTTTATACTTTTTCACTTTATCAACTATAAAAAAGGAGGAAGCTATTTTATGTTTTTTTTTTTTTTGTGCAATTTTATAATTTTATTTTCTGCGAAGGTACACCCGCAAATAGCAAGCCCCACACGTGTCGTTGTTGCCAACATTATGGATTAAATCAAATGGAAATAAATATGAAAAAGGTGGAAAATTTTTGTAGCTGCTAAAAAGCTGTAGAAAATCAAAAATCAACGATAACTTATCACAACGGAGTGAGCGGGTTTATTATTAAATATTAATAATCGAAAGAAGGTAAAGCAGAACAACTTAAGGAAGCGTAAGTGGCTGTGCATAGAGCATAGCGAGATGGCGGGGATTTCGGATTTCACGTTCCGATATGAGAATTCGTACTGTCATCCTGAAACGGCAAGCACAAACGATTGCTGTTTTTCAGGCATGACTAAACAATTTTGTTTGCATAAAAAGCTAAGCTCCAAATTCTAAATTCAATAGCATGCCCCATCATCGTCCCCCATGAAATATTTTGAAACTTTCTTGTACACTGGCTGTTATAATTCCAAATCGATTCGCCTGCCTGCCTGCCTGCCTGCCTAGTGTCTATTACGTACATATTATTAACCGTGATGTGATCTTAAACTCAAGTGTCATATGATATCCTTTTTCACGAAACCAGACAACTTACGACCAAGAGTGATAGTACATAGCACTAAGGGACACGTTTCTTCATTTTTTATTGCAGTTCAATTTTGTTGTAGTTATCATAACTGCTGTCGACTAAGAGAATGTTTTTTAACGCATTAGTTGCTGTTGCTGTTGTTGTTGTTGTTGTTGTTGCTGCTGTTGTTGTTGCTGTTGCTATTGCATTTCGGTTTATTTCCCACATTTCA